TGTTAGTCTTTAAAATGAAATGTCACACTCTTTACAGGAACAGCATGAAGTACTGGCATACTGTATTCTAAACAGGTACACTGTATTCTATCACAAAGACTAAAGTTTTACAGCAGAAAAATACCCTACTGAGTGTATATAACACAATTAATATCCAAGAATGTGAGAGATATTAAAATTAGTATAATGCCCTACTTTGGAGTTTAGGCTTAATATTCATTTATTATTACTTAACCAATTTTGTTGTTGTTATTTGCTAGTGTTCCTTCAGCAAATAGTAGGCCTAAGTAAAAAGTATTGTTGAAAATCAAAATTGAGAATTTTCTGTGCATTGATTTCTTTCTTATGGACAGAGAAAAGATTGTCTTTATTCAATTATGATGGCAGGACACTTTGGTTGAAAATCTGCAACACATGGTTGAAAGATCACTTCCCTGACACAGGGCATCCCACAGCAGGGTTAAAATATTTTTAGAACCACATCAAGGGGTAATTGAACAAGACATTTATGACATTGCCACATGCATTTAAAAGGTAATGTGTCTACAACCAAATTGTTTGCTTATCATAATCAACCCGAATTACCTCGGTCTGATGTTATTTTACCGACGAAGAATGTCAGTGCCTAATTGTAATGAGTTCCACAGGAACCTCATGAACTCATTCACAACGAGGAATCCTGAATAAGAGATCTGAAATTCTTATGAGAAGGAGATTCCAAGGGAAAGATGTGCCTATTAACCACAAGGCAGGCAGGACTTCATCACAGCTCACTGAGTACCCACTGTGTACACCAGTTAAGGCAAAATAGAAAACAAAATAGGAGCCCTCTTCCCACTTCCCCAAAATATCCCAAAATAGCTGTCCTGGGGAGACAGGAAAAAAAAATTTTTTAACTGGTACCCTAGTTATAATGCCTTTTTTATAAAAAAGAAAAAGAGAATTCAAGGGAAGTATCCTATGGACAAAGAAGTTGTCTAGAACATGGATGCTTTAAAACCTACAAAAATACAAAAACTGCAATATACATCTTTCTGAGAACCACAGAAAGTGATTAATAGATGTGGTTGACTAAGAATGCCCAAATTCTAGACTACACAGATTTTGGAATCCATCAAGTATTTGATGTCTACCGTAATACTTCTTGTTACCTATTTTATTTTAATTTAATGCACAAGAGACCCTTTTGACTGGTTGTATTAATAGTCATTCAGATTTATTGATGATAACCTATATAGCCTTAAAACAATGTTGATGTTGCTTTTCAAGGAGGAAATTTCCCACAGGCTGGGCATGGTGGCTCACACCTGTAATCTCAGCACTTTGGGAGGCTGAGGCAGGAGGATCACCTGAGGCCAGGAGTTTGAGATTAGCCTGGGCAATGTAGTGAGACTCCATCTCTACAATCAATCAATCAATAAGAAACTTTCCACAGAGGAGCAAAAGGCAAAAAACAAGGGTTTCAGCCACCACTTTCTTGAAAAGCAACTTTGAACGTTTAATATTATCACAAGGATAATTTTTAAACATTTCATATAGCTCATTCAGCCATTTTAGCTCGAGTACCTGATTTAGTATTCATTTAAATAATTTTTAAAAATTAAGGTAATTACAAATTCACAAGTAGTTACAAAAACAGTACAGAGATGTCCTGTGTAAAATCACTTAGCTTCCTCTTGAAATATTTACATAACTATAGCACTTTATGAAAGCCAGAAAATCAGCAAACTACAGTTAATAAACTATTATTTCTTTTTAACACTTAAAAGCCTGAGTATGATACAATAACTCATATATACACATAAAAGTGTATATATCTTCCTTACTTTTCACCTGTTTAACACCCCCATGTAGCCAGCACTCTAACAAGAAGCAGAAAATTGCTAGCACCCCAGAATCACCTCTTGGGTTCCCATTCTAACCCAACTCCTTGAGATTTCTAACAGCACACATGAATGTTGCCTTTATTGCAATTATAAAAATGAAATCATACTGTCTCATTCATTCTTTTGTATCTGCCTCCTTTTGTTCAACACATTTGCGAGATTCATTCTTACTGTTGCATGCAGTTGCAGATTGTTCATTCTCATTGCATTACAGTATTACATTGTATGCATGTGTTATACTTCTCCATTCTGCTTATCCATTCAAATGATAAGCATTGGGGTAGTTTCCAGTTCTGAGCACTTATGAATAATAGCTAAGAATATCTCAGTACGTGTCTTTTGGTGAATGTACTTATGCATTTCCATTGGGTGTACAGTAGGACCGGGATTGCTGGGTCAAGGGTATATGTTTGCTCAGCTTTGGTGGCCACTGCTACTTAGTTTTCCAAAATGATTGTGTTGATTTACATTCCCATCAGCAATGTGCAGGAGTTCCTTTGCTCCATAACTTTTGCTGGTGGATATGTAATACATGCTTTCAAAAAGAGAATTACAGAAATAAACATCAAACAATACTGGTGGTATAATCAAAGCAATCACTTTTCTCCAATATTCAAGACTCTGCCCAAAGTATTTTAGAAAGCAAAACTATCTGAAATTCTAAAATGACTCTTAAAATATATTCTTCTTTAATTAATCAAATCACCCTGGTTTGCTGTATTTTCCAAACATGTCTGATATCAAGAATCACCTGCTATATAAATACAGATTCTTGGGCATATCTTCTTGTAGAACTCTAAGAGATTCTTATCATCAGGCAAGCCTGCGAAACATTACTATATGAAGATCTTTTGACATTAACATCTGTCTAAAAGCAAATCAGGGTGAAAAATAACTACTTTGGGGATTTCTTTGGAGAGTCCCAGCCCCACAACCTTTCTGTAATATTGTCAACTTCTGTAACAACTTCAGAGGCAAACATTTAAACAGCTGGGTAAATTGAGGCTAAAGTGTGTTTGTTGCCCTAGGTCCTTCCGTAATATCACATCTCTCATAGGGTGTTACATGGGATAGATTGCCTTATGGATATTTCTCATCTTCAAAAGAAGTCAGTTTTGACTATTTAGTGGAATACAACAAAGATAGTCTGTAGTTTTAAAGGACTGCTGGTGTTAAATAGGAGGAAGAACATGAGAACTGGTATCAGAAAAAACCCGGTTTCGAATCCAAGTGCACCTGTCATCTACGGAACCCAAGTCAACATATCCTTTCCATCCCTATCCATCCCTATCTCCTTCTCTGTGAAATAGAGATAATATCAACCATCTTATACTTGACTGGCAAGGCTACAAAAATTAAGACCAACAAAGGAGATGAATACACAGTAGGAAGTCTAAAAATTTGGTTTTTTCTTTGTAATCTGTTTTTGCATCTTCTAGGTCTCTTCTATAATTGCTCACCTGTAAGCTTAAAAATCATTTTGTAAAATTTTCTAACAACTTATATATTGGAATTCAGCTTTTGTAAGAGAGGTGAATAACTACAGGGGGAAAAAAAAGAAACTGCCTAGTTCCACATTTTCATTAACTTTCATCTCTGTTGGTAGAAAACAGCAGTCCTATAACTTATGACTGAAAATGATTACAGACAATAATTTGGAAAAATGTAGTAAAAAGAAGGAACTTGAGGTCACAGAAAACTATAATTTTAAAATAAAGTTGAACTCTTCCAAAACTAGAGAACATCGCTAAGGGCAATATACAAGTAAATTTTTTAAAACAGTACTAAAACCGCTTGAAAAGGCCAACATTTCAATTTAGCCTTTTAGACAGCTTTCTAATATCAACATATTAAGTAGTCAAATGGCTTTTATTCTTCAGATCAAAATGTTTCAAGCATCACATTTTATTTGTAAGAATGCCTACGAAAACTACTTTTATAAAAATAAATCTAATTCTGTGTACTAAAAAGAAGCTTACCATATTTAAACTATATAGTCACGAAAAGGCCATTTAACACTATCTGCCAATTACTGCATATAAAAAGTAATTAAGAAAGGTTTATATTGTAATAAGTCTCCTTCAGCTCTCTGTGATTTGATTCTTCTAATCTTAAAGCTGGTGAAAACCTCTGGAAAACATTAGCACTTATTTTAGGAAACAGAATTGTTAGACTTTTATTTGGAAGAAAATTTGTAAGTAATAATTTGATGTCATATGTGTACTAAAATTCAGCGTAAAAACCTAAGAGTAGGGAAGCTGTGATTAACAAATATTCTGCCAAAAATCTGTGTAATTTAGGGGAAATCCTTTAACCACTTTGCCTTGGTTTCCTCCTCTGTAACATGGGGATAATGTCACTCTATACTTCTTGAAGCAGGCTGGGAGATCTAGATGAGTGAGTGTTCAGAACACTGCTTGATACCATACGTGCTTGGGAAGTATTAAGCAATCATTATTAATGAGTACAAAAACTAAACAGTTACAAAGAATGAAGATCTACTATTTGATAGCACAACAGGGTCACTATAGTCAATAAATATACAACTTAATTGTATATTTTAAAATAATGAGTGTAATTGGATTGTTTGTAACTTAAAGGATAAAGGCTTGAGGGAATGGATACTGCATTCTCCATGATGTGCTTATTTCAGCATTTCATTCCTGTATCAGAACATCTTAGCCGGGCGTGGTGGTTCACGCCTGTAATCCCAGCACTTTGGGAGGCCAAGGCAGACGGATCATGAGTTCAAGAGATCGAGACCATCCCAGCCAACATAGTGAAACCCTGTCTCTACTAAAAGTACAAAAAATTAGCTGGGTGTGGTGGCCGGTGCCTGTACTCCCAGCTACTCGGGAGTGGCAGGAGAATCGCTTGAACCCAAGAGGCAGAGGTTGCAGTGAGCTGAGATAGCACCACTGCACTCCAGCCTGGCAACAGAGCGAGACTCTGTCTCAGAAAGAAAAAAACCTCATGTACCCCATAAATATATATACCTACTATGTACCCCAAAAATTTTAAAAACAAGTTAACAAATTTTTGTAAATGATTTTTTAAAAAATTTTAAATTATTGTAAGTGTAGTCATGGGAACACTGAATAGCGCAGAACTCACGGGGCACTGTCACGCCATAGTGCTGGGTGTCACTGATCAGCAGCTTTCGTTTCAGTTCATTCAGCCCTACTCCCACAGGACCTGAAAAACAGATAACAGAACTCCATTATCGAGAAAACACCACATAAACATTTCTGAAAATGACGTAAGTCTCTAAGACAGACTGAAAACATGGATCCAGCTTTGCATCCTAAGTAAACAGATTATTTCCCGTTAACTCAAACTTAAGAAAACGCTAGATTTCTTTTTTTGCTTTTTTACTTTTTCAATTGAAATCCTCAGCTTTTCCTCAAAAAGGATAGAAAGATTTATATTTAAATGAGATATATTCAAGAGTATTCAGGCTGGGTGCAGTGACTCACGCCTGTAATCCCAGCACTTTGGGAGGCCGAGTTGGGCAGATCACGAGATCAGGCGATCAAGACCATCCTGGCTAATACGGTGAAACCTCATCTCTACTAAAAATATAAAAAAAAAAAATTAGCCGGGCGTAGTGGCAAGCGCCTGTAGTCCCAGCTACTCGGGAGGTTGAGGTAGGAGAATGGCGTGAACCCAGGAGGCGGAGCTTGCAGTGAGCTGAGATCACACCACTGCACTCCAGCCTGGGCGACAGAGCGAGACTCCATCTCCAAAAAAAAAAAAAAAAAAAAGAATATTTAAGTATTACCAAATAATAAGTTACCCACAAAAGCCTAAAAAATATGTTCACCTAAGAAAATTCAATTGCATAATGCAGACATTATTGATAATGTCAATTTAAAATGTTTTTAAGTGTTAATAAAACAAAGTGCTAATAAGACAAAATTGATAATGTCAATTTTAAATGTTTTTAAGTGTTAATAAAACAAAATCTTTCACCCTGACTTTATGTGGGATAAAGTTATGCATTTTACATCTGCTAAACAATCAGCCACATTTACATGTGCTGAGACCTTTTCCTGCACTATAGACTTCCTTAAGCATTTGAAAACTTGCATAGACCTTACACACTTTACTCAATCAATGTATACACACTGGACACCGATAAGAAGCAAGGCATACAGTAGATTCTGTGGACAACAGTAGATGATAAGTGGACTCTGATCTTAAGGAAAGTCATTGGTTAATTATGAGTCTGAGGCCAGAAAAAAAACAAAGAGCAGTTTCAAATATGAGTCTGAAATCAGAAGTTAGATGGGCATAAGCCCACCCTTTCCAGCATTGCTCTCCACCTAAAAGCTTCTCACAATGCTGCCATCAGGGTCAGTTAACGGATGGTGTGGTTCAGTGGGTGATACAAGCTACAGGACCACACTGCCCTCAGGTAGAGTCCTGTCTCTTCCCATCTGCTATGCCTTCACCTTGGTGATACTGGAAGGGAAAGCCAAGGGTGTAGTTAGATTTCATTTTAATTCTAAAAGTGTGCGTGTTCCCTCTCCTTCTTGGGCGGAATGAATGAGAACTGAGAACTCGTGCACAGTGCCTAGCACAGCGTCCAGGTACTTGACTGTTCACTGCCTTGCCTCTGTCTTCTTCCACCCTGAGGAGGTCACAGGTGGCTTTGAAAGAATAAGGTTTTACACCACAAAATGAGAACATGCAGGTGTAAAGAGAAGTAGGGTGGGCATCCCAGGTGGAGGGAAAACGATGAGCAAAGACGAAGAGGGGGAAGTGGGGGGCTGTGCTGTTCCTGCTCTAATGCCATTTCCAGGTCCCTGACCCTTGATAAAAACACCTGTCTCCAGGTGGTCATTCACTACCACCTTCAACCTTTCTCCACACTGCTGTCCAGTATCAATTCTCTGGCAACTTTCCCTTGTTCTGTAAGACAGCAACTCTCAATTCTCCCTCTTATAATAAATATGCCATAATATCCCATTTATATCCTGAAATGGAATTAATTGCTAATATAACTTACCAATATAATTCTCCCTTCCAAATTAATACATTGCCCTAACTAAAAATAACATATGAAAGTGAGAAAAAATAATTTATAATAAAGCAATATGTATTTCAATATGTAAATGCTTGGCATGACTAGAGCAGAAAATCTAACCAAGTCAGAGGTTTGCGCCTACTTATAATAAACAAGTTTGGATTTAAAAGGTCAGGAGCTATTCTGCACAAGAAAGAACAGGAAAACAAAAGCCCAGTGGTACATGTAAATCCAGGAATAAGAACTAGTGTTTGGATAGAAACCACAGATCAGACTTCCTTGAATATGATAAGGAAGGAGGAAAACAACTAAGGATAGCATGTCAAGGCTATTGAAGTGAAGAAAACAACACAAATGACTTGGGTTTACCCAAGAGTAGTATATGGGGCCTGGCGCGGTGGCTCACACCTATAATCCCAACACTTTGGGAGGCCGAGGTAGGCAGATCACTTGAGGTCAGGAGTTTGAGACCAGCCTGGCCAACATGGTGAAACCTTGTCTCTACTAAAAATACAAAACCGAGCTGGGTGTGTCAGTGGGCACCTGTAGTCCCAGCTACTCGGGAGGCTGAGTCAGGAGAATTGCTTGAACCCAGGAGGCGGAGGTTGCAGTGAGCTGAGATCGTGTCATTGCGATCTAGCCTGGGTGACAGAGTGAGACTCCGTTTCAAAAAAAAAAATGCGAATAGAGTGTCCCAGCCTGCCTTGTCCCTCAAGATAACCAGAACTACAGGAAGGGATGTAAATTCACCACTTCCTTAGGAGATCTCAGCTCTGGAGTGATTCCTAGAGTGTGAGACACTTTGCCCAGGGAGAGTCTAGCGTTTCCTTTCTTATTCTTAAAAACCTTTCCTAACTACAAAAAGAAAAAAAAAATTTAACTCTCTAGGGAAAAAAAACTAGGTATATTTGAATTCGTGGGGAAAAATATACCATCTCTAATGTGACATCCTTAAATTTTGACTATATTTGATTTTGGGCCTAGGTTATAACTTTAAAATCTAACCCTTACAAGCATGCTCACTTCAGTCCACACTTGTGGAGTGTATACCCATGTAGGGTGCCAAGAACATTCAGAGGCAAACGACTTTATTTGGAAAATTTTCCCTAAATTACGTTATTCTCGGTCATCGTCTTCAAAGGTAGAAGTATCCTTCAAAGAAAGGTTAAAAATAAAGACATAATTTCAATCATTCTTACTGCAAAATTGTCCAGTGGGCCTACAAACAGCATTTTTGCAGTCAGGCCCTTGGATCCATTCTGCCATTCCCACTGGAGAAGCTCTAGAGTCTCCCCTGGACTTTAAAAGACCACAGCTCAGATGCACCGTCCCGTCCCGTATCCTCCTTCTAGGGTTAGGCCTAAGTTCACAACATTTTTAGTTGGCTGGTTAGTATTTGGAATACAAAATCTACTTACATTCCAAGCAATTTAGGGATGCAAACTGAGTTAGGTTTATTCGTATGCCTCTGCAATAGGATAGTTTCATTTACCCCTTCAATAAAGAAATTTCTATCACAATTGGTGAAATACACTTACATGTGCATATATAAGTAGATGGCTCTGTAGCTCATTTCCAGCTGAGCTTGCTAATGATAAAGAGCAGAACAGAACAGAATCTAAACAGCCCGTCTTTAAACCACAGACAACAAACTGTGGCATAAGGATGATGAGGACATAGTGAGTTCTTTTCACATGACAGGCATGTGTGACACGGTTCACATATACTGTTACTCATCCTCAAAACATCCCTGCAAGAAAGGTATCATTATCCTCATTTTACAGATGAGAACACTGAGACAATGAAAGGTGAGGTAATTTCCCAAAGGTCACACATCTGGCATGTGGCTTAGCTGGTATTCAAAAGCCTGTCTGTCTAACTCGAAAGTCTGCATTCTTTCCACTCTACCGATGATCTTATCAAAAGAATATGCCGGTAAAACATGAACTCGGGTAGCTGTTGCTCTGCTGTCTGTTTACGGTTGTGAATTGGAACTTCACGGACTCTCTCATCCCCAGTCCATGCAATCCACACTTCGTGATGACTAATTAGGCTCCTGGAACAGGCAGAGACACAGGCTACAAAAAGTGGCACACGTCAAATCTGGTCATCTCAAAGCTCTCCGTGCAGAATCTCTGAGAAGTCTAATATAAACTGAATGAGGATGATGTGCAGAACAGGCCTGGACCACAGACACTGGGCGCATCTGTTAGGATTCTCAATTCAGGACTGAGGAAAATCAAACACAAAGATGGTATATGTAAGTAAAAGCCAAAAGGCACATTAAAAATGATGTTGTAGCTTATTAACCTGGAATTCAGGCAGTGAACTAAAGTTGGTGTGCCTCCTAGCTTTGAAAAGAAAATAGAAAAATGTTTATAGCCAAACCAGAATTGTAAGTAAGTAAGTATCTGCTTCATTTAAAAAATATTTCACAAGAATTTATAAAACCATGTTGGAAAGGAAGAATGAAGCTGTGTGTCTCAATTTGTATTGGGTGAAGGTCTTGGGAAAAATGTGTGTCAATTGGATAAATAAGATAATTAGAAAAGCATAATACTATTTCAAATTCCTTTTTATGCATTTAATTAGTAACTCCTTATTGAAAGTAGGCAAATGTGTTGTACGGTTTTAAAAAAGTTTCATTCATTTTAACCAAAGTAATGTAGCCCATTTAAAGTGTCGATAAAATGTTAATAAAATTTCTATTTAAGATTGTACATTTAAGAAAACAGTCATTGTTAACTACATGCAAAGATTCTTTTATGTTTATCTTAAAAAGGTTAAAAAAACTATAGCAAATTCTCAGCTTTAATTTACATGGAAGAAGGTAGACATATATGACACCTTTTCCCCAAATGATCTTGAAATTGGTTAACATTATTGCCTCAGTTCATGTAATGTAATTTTGAGATGTAGGGTATTTTCATTCTGTTCTGTTTCAGATTTTCTTTTTATTCCCCAAATATGTTTATGTGTTTATGATTTGTAACAAATGTTTATGTATAAAAAAAAGTGTATTTTGATTAGAATGCTGGCACAGTATACTTTCAAAATTAATTCATAGTTGATGCATACAAGTTTTTCATTCTGTCAACATGGTCCCCCCAAATAATCCACTTTTTGAATCTGATACAGACATATACCACTAAAAAAACAAAAAACA